CCCCACAGATGTCCCTGTAAAATTACATCCCCAGAAGGTCATGTGCACTTGAGGGAAAGATGAGTTTGTAATTAAGTATTAAATATTTTCGCTAGTCTGAACTTGCCTGCCATGGTATATGAACTGGCTCTTATTATTTTAATGGAATGCATTTACTAGCCCCCTTTTTCCTGGACAAAGTTTGTAGAGGACAGTTAAAATAGTTGGAAATGTTTCTCATTCCCCACCCCCATCCCAAGTATTTACACACATTTAGATATTATTATGTGAATAGAAATGACTGCAAATGAAATTATCTCTAATTCTTCAGGATTAAATTATGACTCTCTCATAAGAACATAACATTTTCAGATGTAGAACAGTTAACAGAATGGTTGGACTATTTCTATCATAAGAAAAGATATAGGATTAGCTAAGCAGGATGTAAAACAAAAATCTTGGGGATGAAAACTCATAGATGACTACACAGCAGTGTCACAATGGTATAGAAGGGGATCTCCTTTTTCACATTACAGGTAGTCCTTGACTTACAACAGTTTACTTAGTTACTGTTCAAAGTTATAACAGTACTGAAAAGAGTGACTTATGATCATTTTTCACACTTACAGCATCTCCATGGTCATGTGATCAAAATCAGACACTTGGCAACTGACTTATATTTATGATGATTGCAGTGTCCTAGGGTCACGTGATCACCTTTTGTGACTTTCTGCCAAGCAAAGTCAACAGGGAAGGCAGATTCACTTAACGCCCGTGTTACTATCTTATCAATTGCAGTGATTCACTTAACAACCGTGACAAGAAAAATCACAAAATGGAGCAAAATTCACTTAATAACTGCCTCACTTAGCAACAGAAACTTTGGGCTCAATTGTCATCATAAGTTGAAAACTACCTGTATAGGAAACCACATTATGACAAATGTAAATGGAAGCAGTGAGAGTTCGAGGGCCTTACCCTTCTCCCAACCTATTTGTCTTTCTTTGAATATCATAGAAGCATAGAAAGACCACTACACTGTAGGATACGCATAAAAATGTTGTAGTTGTGGTAAGGAGGCGATTGGCAGGACATTAATTTCATGAACTCTTACTAAACATTGACTTGAATCCCTACTTTTAGCAAGTAGCTACATGGCTGATGCAAAGAGGCTTTTCAATCAGTTGCTATGACAGGAATAGAAGGTCTGCTATATTAACTTGCTTTGGGCTCTCTGATGGAGGAGAATGCATTCATTTACTTGCTTGCCTAAAAACACATTCGTAGCACTGTTGCCCAGAAAGGCAAAATAATCCCCCAAACCCAATATTAACAGCATTAATCACCGGGACAGCAATGTTATATTAGAGTCTTTAATATCTATTACTGATAAGTCTATTAATAAATAAATTATCTCACAAAAGCCACAATCTAATGTCACAAGCAGCAAAAAAGGCCAGAGATGGTTTGCAATGTTTCTTGTTAGGTGACAGTCTTTCATTAAAGATGAGATTTCTTTTTAGTAATTCTCTTTTAGCTCTATGGATTTAAAACTGTTGTAGCGATTCCCTTTCCAGAAATAGGTTTATCTGTGAATAAATCTCAGTTTTCCCAGTTCCCCTTGTACCTGAAATTATTCACTTAAAGCTCTCTTAGAATCAAATGATTTTTGTTCTTCTTGCCTTTATTTTATGCTTCTGTCTCCTGCTAAGAAGCAGGATGCACTTCAGATGCATTCATTTTCAACCTACAACACACAGTCTTTTGCTGCTATTCACAGCAGTTGTGAAAAAATTTCTGGTCTTTTTGAATGGGCATGAATCCCCCCCCCACTTATTCATGTCATCCTGAAATATAATAACTATTGTCCTGACTTACGTGAATGAACAGAAGGTACTGAAAACAGTATTTGGGGCCAGTGATGGGATTCAAATATGTGAACAACCGGTTCTCTGTGTGGATGCCACTTCCGGAAGTCCATTCTGGGCTTGGGCAACAAAAAATTAGCTACCAGTTCTGCCGAACTGGTGCGAACTGGCTGAATCCCACCACTGTTTGGGGCTTAGGAAGGTTTTTTTTTTTAACTGTTGGGAATATATGCCAAGCACATTTGTTTATTAGAAGTTACAACAGCACTGAAAAAGTGAACTTTGACTGGTTTTCACATTTAACGACCGTTGCAACATTCCCCACAGTCCCATGAACAACAGTCAGGTGCTTGGCAACTGGAATGTATTTATTTATTTATATTTATATATAATGTTTCTAAATTACATTGTCCCGGGGTCACGTAATCACCATTTGTAACCTTCCCAGCTGACTTCCGATAAGCAAAGTCTATTGAGGGGGGGGAGAGCCAGATTCACTTAACAACTGCAGTCATTTGCTTAACAAGTCTGGCAAAAAACGTTGCGAAATGTGGCAAAATTCACTTAACAACTGCCTTGCTTAGCAATTGAAATTTGGGGAGTACCTGTAATATATGAATTAGCAGCACTTGGTATAATAACAAATGAACTAAAAAGATTTGGGTGGGTTTTTTTTAAAATAATCTGATTAGCTCATATATGCCAAGTAATATGACCAAATCTAAAAAGGACTGATCATGGGAACAGGATAATAAACATGTAACCATACTAGATACAATTACTGTGAAAAAGGCGGGTCTGTGAATAACTTTCCATCTCCTAGTTTCTTCTTTAATTCAGCACAGATCACAGAGGTTATTGAACTGAATCTATACATACTTGTACTAACAGATGGTAAGACAAATGCCTCCATATTATTCTTCTCCTCATATTCCCTAGCAGCTGGCATTGAGAGGCGTACTGCCTTTGATATTGGAGATAATATATAGCCATTATGATTAGTAGGCAATGATGGCACCAGCTTCATTGGAACGAATAACTTATGTGCTTCGTTGCATACATGCTGCCTTTCAGTATATACTGGCAAAAACTCTGATGATGTTATGGTGCTAGAAATCTTTGTGATCTTTTTATTCTACTTCCTTTCTTGATTGAGACAAATTAGACACAATCCTTTTATTCTCCCTCTCAATAGTCAAGCAATAAACATATGCTGCGCAGCAATTTTGTTGGAGTAAGAAAAGGACAATGGTTAGTCATGTCAAATAAGCTGAAAAGCAGGATAAGACCTGCTATTTTTCCTTTATGTTAAATGACAACCATGACACTCACTCTGAAGGTTTATAACAAACAATGCTCCACATTCATTCTAATTCTAATTCAGTGCCTTCAGCATCTCTGATGATAGCTAAGAGGCAAGAACAGTACAATGTCTGTATTTTTTTAAAAAGCGACCCCCATTTGCAAAGAACAATGATCCAGGGATTATAGAATTTCTGTGGAGAGTGATGGTGAGGTAATCACCTGGAACTTATTCTTCTGCATGATACACAAGGCATCAATAAAGGCAACAAAGATGGAGAAGATGAAAGAAACCAAAAATATTGATATATGTGCATTTCAGGACTCAAGCAATACAAATCAAAGAATTACAAGAGCTTCAAGCATTGATCCAGTGAAGGTACAAGAGTGCAATGCAAAGGGAGAATTAGTGTTCAGTGAGACATGATAGTGCACACGTGAATTTTGCTATTGGTGTTATCAGTTTATATAAAGTCTGAAAACGGCCAGCTTTTAGGTAATTCACAAGTCCTTGTAAAGAAGTTATAATGTTTTGTATGGTTCATCTCCAGATGCTCCAGCTGGGTTTCTGGGAACTGGTACAACATACAGTGTATTGGAGGTATCAGGTTGGAGAAGATTGATGGAGAGGGTTTGCATATCACCTGGTTATATTGTGAGTCTCTTTGTTAAATAAAATCTTCATATAAGGAGTGATATAGTAATGAATACTCTGTGCCTTACTGTCACTGTTTAGTCTTTCTCAACCTTGCCAACTTGAAGACATGTGGACTTGGGAACTGAAGTCCACACATCTTCAAGTTGCTGAGGTTTAGAAGCACTGATCTAGTTAAAACTCCCTTTTTACAACCCCATAATCCCTTAATTTGGTGTAGAATCGGGGCAACTGGATGGAGTTGAACGTTTGCTGGCCAGATGCCCTTCCTGACACCACACAAGAAGTTCATAACATTTTTCTTTGTGCCTTAGGAGAGAGAAACATCTGCTGCTACCTAAGATTGAACTCTCAACCTTCCGAGTCACAGGTGAGATCTTCACCACTAGGTCACCATCTAGCTACCACTTTAATATAGTTGTGAGCCTATATCAACAATGCTTGACCTTTTATTCATCTATTTCATTCAGGGACATTCATCCTATTTTTTTTTTTTTAAAAAACCTGTGCTTGGGGAAGGGAGATGAAACAAATGACTGGCATGAATTAATTCTGGATCAGTCATTTACTATAGTTGGAATTCAGCTGCTTCAGCTGCTGGGAATAAATTTAGCTTCTGTATTTGAGAGTCCTGTTTCTTAAAAGTGCTGGGTAGGTGATTGCCAGGTATCCTTATCACAGCTGCATTAAGAGTTTGGAAGCAGGCAAAATTGAATAAAAAGAAATGTAATGGTTTGTGGATTGTGACCTGCCTATTCATCTTTTATACAGTATATGTTTTTCCAGTAGTACATAAATCAGATTATTGATAGCTGTCATGGCTATATAGAGGTACCAAGTTATTTTATCTGTATAGAAAGTAATTTGACCACTGTACCACTTTTCTCCTTGTTGACATTCTGTGATATCTGGAGGCCATACTCAATCATTACTGACCAAAAAAAAAAAAAAGACCTTTCTAACTCCCCCCCCCCAAAAAAAAACCCAGTCACAAAAATAAGAGTTTTAATTCCATGAGCCAATGCTCTTCTAAAAATTCAGATTTACTTGAAGTATAACTGTTTTCTGCTATTCAGTGACATCTATGCAACTGCATAGTTCTTAATTACTTCAGGATTTGAAATATCACCAGCCAGAATGCACAATTCAAGCAAGGTACCTCTGAGTTTACATTAGAACTAAATGTCAGAATTTACCTTAATTCCTTGAAGGGGTCTGCCCTGACATTAGGAGTTTCTATAGATTTGGGGAACACTGTGCCTTCTGCTCCTGAAACCACAAAACAGAACACAAGGCATAGCTGTTATAAACTGTTAGCAGAGGAAGGGTATTCAAATCATACACACATATTTTACAGTTGTCATAACTCCCTTCCAGAACATACATACTACAATCCCCAAAAATCCAGAACCAGGATAATGAATATTTTTGCAGTCCTATATAATATAAAAAATAATTTCCTTTTTACAGTACTAGGGAGGAAAAGAGGACATGAGTCTTCAATTTCTTTCAGTTTTTAATTTTTTTCATCTTAAATTTGCTCTCAGGTTTGCAATTTTTTTAAACATATATATTTTAAGTATCTTGAAAGTACAATTCTCACCCTGATGTTTACCTTACTCTGAAGAATAAGAGGTGGGGAATGACTGGGGAAAGAGAAATATCCACTTTTGCAGACAGTATTTGTATCTTGGTATCCTTCCAAATTCTGAATCACTAATGAAGAGTTAACATTAGACTTGGAATGCTTTGGAAATATTCTGCTTTGATCTGGACAATTCCTAAATCTGTCAAAATGTGCCTAATTTGGTTTGGGATTTGGAATTCATTCACTAATGAAGGAGTTTTATTTTTGATAGACATGTGCATGTACACAATCTGTTTTTAAAAATTGTATAAACAAAATATATTTCCTTTTCCAATCTCTTTTTTTACCTAAAATTACTCCAACTGCTATTAATAACCCACACCCAAATTCACAGTGGGTTTATTTGTGAAAGAAATAGTACAGATCAAAATTTCTCCCCAATCTCCTTCCCACCAGCAGGTATTCCAGTCACTCCATTGTGTTCTTCTTCCCACATACAATATAGGCTCGGGCCATTTTCCCTCCCCTCATGATCTTCAGGAGAACACCATTGGAGCCTCCTCCTCCTTCTTCTCCCTCCTCCTTCTTAGATGACCCTTGGAACTTTCTGTCACTGTGTTGTGGGTAGAGAGAAAACAAAGGGAGTTGCAGAGCATGAGGAAAACTGTACCCACACGCTCCATTTTGACATGTCCCCAAGGGCCCCCTCCCTCTAGTGAGGAACAGGTCTCACCAGCCAGCCCTACCTTGCCAGCAATATTGCAATATTGTGAAAAATTCATAGTATTTGCATCAATGGAATTTCCTTAGATATTCTAGAGTCAGATAACACATAGAAAAGGTCTTCTCTTTTGTATGAAATATTTTAAGGTATTTTAGAAGAAACCCAAGTCAGAATTCCTGCTAATGAATTTGAATAGAGTCATTCAAGAGCAACTCTATGCAATAATAATATATCAAAAAGATTACTGGTGCATGAATAATTGCAGCCAAGATATCTGTGTTTGGAAACAGCTGCTGTTGGTGAACTAGTTGAAGGTAGTACAAGGTATTATCTATTAACAAAACCATCTTAGCTGCAATGGCTAGATCAGTGATGGCGAACCTTTTAGAGACCGAGTGCCCAAACTGCAACCCAAAACCCACTTATGTATCATCAGGTGCTGGGTGGGCATGGCCCATTTGGTGGGTGTGGCCTATTGGGTGGGCCTGGCTGCAGTGGTAACAGCAGACTGGGTGGGACTAAAAACTTCAATCAATTCCAACCTTTGGGATCTTGAAGTTGAAATTGATTGATTGATTGAACCTTTTTTTTTTTTTTTTTTGCACAAGGTGGCAGAGCCTAAAGTGAAAAGGTTTTATAAAACCATGCTGAAGGCGTAGGACTGGGGCGATGGTGTGCATGCCCACAGAGAGGGCTCTGCGTGCCACCTGTGGCACGCATGCCATAGTTTCGCCACAATGGGACTAGATGAATGACATCATAGGTTTAAAAAAGTTGAAAACTGATTTCCTGGAACAAAAAACACAACACTGTCTCTGCTCATGCTGCTTTTATTATTGTGGAGAATCACAGAGTTGACCTTAAAAAAGAAATGTGATAATTCTAAAACATAATTTAAGGCTGTCTGAGGAATTCTGGGAGCTGAAGTCCACAAGTCTTAAAGTTGTCCAGGTTGCAGATTCCTGATTTAAGGCCAGGAAAACTGGGGAACATAAGAAAAAGTTAGCTTTTCAAGACTGATGTCAGCTCTTAGAGCTACACCAAATCAGGAAACAGACTCCACAAGAAATACTTGATAGATATGAGTCATAGAATCTGAATCTTGAAAGCCTGATGCTGTATTCCCTTTCTCCCTTCTCTTGTATCAAAGGAAGTTAAAGTGGAACAGTTTAAGTTTAAACTTTATTAATATTCTCTTTCCCTGGCCTTAAATTTTGTTTTGCTAACCATCACATACTCTTCTAAAGTCATGTCTGTGATTCTCTACCATTACTGTTCATCAGTTCATTAAATCATCTAGACTGTGATCCAATTGCACTGATGCCAATACAACTGACGTTTTTTGCTCCAAACTTCCATTTTATCACAAAAGGCCTGTAAAAGTTAGTGTGACCTCTAGAGACCGCAAATTGTTTTCTGTATAATTGTCATTTAGTATTATCTGGAGAATCTCAGCCCCCAAACAGTAGGCTTATCCAAATCTTGTATCAATTGGTATCATGCTATGCAATTTAAAGATAATAGGAGACAGGACAGAGCTTTGTAAGATCTGATAATTTAATTACCAGAGCCTATTGTATTTATTTATTTCAAGTAATCCAATGTTTATTGTTTTTTAAATTACTCCATCTGTATAATTAACACAAATAGCATGTGTTAATAGCATAACATTGAAATTCCAGTCTCAAAATTGCACTTTCAACCTGATTACGTCTATTCAATTGCAATACCTACCAAATCCAAATAGAGCTTATTTCCCAGTAAAGGAATAGAAGCTACCTCAAATGTCACAACATGTTTAAAAAAAATTTCATAAATACCCAGAAATAAAACATATTGTGTAAAAAGGCAAACTAATTATTACAATTCCAACTGCTTTATCGTTCACAATTAAATGCAATCTAAGAATCTTCATGATGGATAGAGCCTTCAGGAAATTTAACTTCAGCTGTGATCAAATGGAAAACTGAAGTTACGGTAGCACCTCTAGAGGTTTCTGAAGAAGAGGAACCAGCTCTAAAAAAGAATGAATATATTTGAAAAGCAGAAGAATCAAAGAAATGAAGACTATATTGGGAAATAAAAAGTTCACAAAGAGATTGAGGAGATCAGAATAAAGTGTCTAAAAAGAAATTATGGCAGTAGAAGGAAAACGGACAGAAAGGGACTGTGCGTGCGTGCCCAGGATGGCATCAAAGAGCAAAACTGATTGAAGAACTGAAGAACACATACATGTTAAATGTTCTTATTCATAAACATACGTAGTAAGATAAAATCTTGAGGGAATTCTATCAACCACATCCTAAGTGGTTGAACTGCAAATTCATAAATTAAATTTTCTGAAACTGATTCTGCAGGAATAAGCAGCACCCACATCAGAGAAACTTTATTTAAGTATCTTAAGAAGATCAGGATTATTTATGTTATCTTGTTTTGTCATGTCATGTCATTTTTAGGCCAGTAAAATAAAACTGAGCAGAGCAAAGCACTGGCCCCCACAATCACCCTGGTCCTGGGGAGAGGGGGATCATGCCACACAATAGGAGGGCTTCCTGGGTCCCACAGTATGAGAGTCTTTAATAAAAGGGGCTTGGGACACACTTGTTCTGCTGGGCCAAAGCGGATGGGCAGAGAGAATGAGAAATAAGGTTCCATGACTCAGGGATTCTTTAGCAGCTATGCAGGCCATAAGATATTCAATATAGATTTTATTTTTTAGCTAGATATCTGTAAACTATAAAAGAAAACAAGAAAACATTTCATTATCACTCTTCCATCTTTACCGAGCACAAAGCAAACACCGTCAGATTGTTGATAAATCAATATCTCTTATTTCTTTTGCTATTAGAAACATTTTTCACTATATTGTGAACAAGGGGGAAAAGTAACCCTATCGTTTGTTTTTAAAGTATTGCTTTAAGCTAAGCAATTGATTTTGTGGTTCACAATTCTATGTTCCCAGTAAAATATAGAAAGCAAGTAGCAACCAACCTGTGTATTTTATCCTTATTCTAAATGGCAATAAATTATTCTTTTATTATTTATAAAAGAATTTTATTACAACCTCACTATACTAAATCTTTCTTTTAATGCTATATTATATATCAGCAACAAATGTTCATAAATACTTTGAGTGGGAAATCCATAAAGCTATTTCACCTTTATTTTAAGTTCCATTTAATGCTTCTCTAAAATGATTGCATCAATGATGAGTCCATCTGCTGGCTTTCTGCCCAACAGCCTAATTCCACACACTCAGTCAGGAATTTATAAAGCATGTGACACTACTATCTGTCTAAAGGGTTTTGAGTTACTGTAATGATTTGGCCAATGCTCCCCCCCCCAGTCCTATATTGGTGTGTAATGGGAAAGCTAATCTGCAAAACAAACAACGACTCCTCCCAGCCCATTCTCATATAAACTTAGTTACTATAGTTACAATGAGCAAATTGCTTCTGTGAAAGGCACATGTTATATGAAGAGAAAACTTCATATAACATGTTAGTTAATAGTTATGCTACTAAATACCATAACTATTGTATAACTTTCTGTCAGCCTTGTGAGGTCAGATAAGATCAGATAAGAAGCATACCTTCACTGTAAAGCCACATTAACAGAATCTTGCAAGATTCTGAAAGTACATGTTTCCTTCCATTGCCTTTACTTTCCAGGGAACCAGGAAGGTCCTAATTTGCCATGCCATTGTTCTTTCTGCAGGCTCAGCTGCCTCTTACTTGTTGCCTGATGGGTGGCTCTTCCTCCTGTCTTCCTCCTATCTCACATATCATTATATCTGGATCTGCCATTTCACTTCTAAAAGCTGATTTGCAAATGTCAGGCGTCTGTTTCTTTTGACGAAGCTCATTGGTTACATGCAGATTTAAACTGTCTTTTATCCCGCAGTCTAGTTTTTTTTTCTCCTACTTGCAATATTTGATGTTAAATGTTCAGAAGATA